ACTAAATCCAATATGGCGGCTGCTCCAAGATGGCGGATTACCTTTTTCTTTACAACCACCTTGATATGAGTATTAAATGAAAGCGTTTGATGGGTATAAAACGATAAAGTGAGTAAGGTACAACTAAATCCAATATGACGGCCATCCCAAGATGGCGAATTACCTTTATCTTTACAACCCCCTTGTTATGTATATCAAATGAAAGGGCTTAATGAGTACAAAACGATGAAGTGAGTCATACTTTATTTAGCATGGCGGCCACCCCAAGATGGCGGAATATATATTTGTTCACAACCTCCTTGAAATGGGTATCAAATAAAGAGATTTCTCGAGACGGATACGTGAAGTCAATCCAATTTAAAAATGGCGGACTACCAACTAAACAGACATAAAACATGTTATAACGCGCTTTTGGGTTACATTTAATTGAAAAGCATTTACTTAAGTATGTTACTTGTATTTATACATGTACTTGTAATTTTATCTTATTTTTTCAAAGGACCCCACGCTGTCAAAACTGACAAAATTTAAAAATAACTGGGATAAATACTTACCGGAGGTAGAGTTTGCTATTAACAATTCATTTTGTCGGTCCATAGTTAATTCCTAAGTATCGAGGGCCCTACCAAGTTAAGAAAGTTTTGAGTAATGATCGATATTTAATTACTGATGTTGAGAATTTTCAACTTACTCAAAAACCTTTTAAGGGTATTTATGCCTCTGATAATATGAAGCTATGATGAATTATGTTTATGATCCTTATGATGACTTTTGTTTATGATCCTTATGATAACTTATGTTTATGATCCTTATGATAACTGTTAAGATTAATTGCAGTTCTTTACATGTCAATAATACTTATAGAAAACTCAACCCTCAGTTAGATAAGATAGTAGTGAAACAAGTGTCATAAAACCTTTCACAGATGGTTTTATGCACACAAGTGCCACTTTAGAGTAAGACAGTATTCTTACTTAATAAGGACCTTTTTTTAAAACAGTTGGCCTGTACCGGGCATAGAGTCAAGTCGCTTTTATACATTTTATTATAAATAAACTTTTCTTTACTTTTAATAAATAACTCATTGCAACCTCATCCAAAATAACAACAGGTTATGGGCCCAGTGTGCTAAGGGGTTGCTGCGGGTTTGATATTAAGAATAAGTGAGTGCGTGTTGCAATTTCTCGCGTTAATTGGACTTTAGTGAAAGTTAGTTAACAGTGGTGTTGAAATTTAAAAATGGATTTTGACATGGATAGATCGTCTAAGGTTGAAAAACTTAGAGGTTCCGAAAATTGGCAACAATGGCAATTTGTAATGAAAATGTTAATTGATAGTATGGGAGCTTTGGAGGTCTGTGATGGAGTTATAGTGAAACCAACCGATAATCAGGCAGAAGATTATGAAACAAAGTTAAAGTCATGGAACAAAGCAAACAGAGCCGCAAAATCTATGATAGTGACGTCTGTAGAGTCAAAACCGTTACAGTTGTTGCTAAATTGCGAAACTGCTGAGGATATGTGGAAGAAGTTGCACAATGTGTACGAAATGAAATCGGAAGAAAGCCTCTCTTTGGTGCAGAAGCAGTTCTTCGAATTCCAGTGGAAACCTGAAGGTAGCATTGCGCAACATATTTCCAAGCTAGAACGATTAGCGCATCGAATGAAAGCTCTTGATGGAATGATTCCGGTTTCAATGTTAATTACAAGAATATTGTAGACATTGCCACCAAAGTACAATCATTTCCATAGTGCATGGGATTCAACAGAAATTAACAAAAGAACCCTAAAAAATCTGACATCTCGTTTATTGACTGAAGAATTGAGAATAAATGGCAATGAAGAAAAGGACACTGAAACTTCAGCTGCGTTTTTCTCGAGAAAAACACATCAAAAAGGTGGTGGTTCTAGTAAGCAGTTCAAACACCAAAAACCGAAGAAGTTTGGGTGTTTTCTGTGTGGAAAACAGAATCATAAGAAAAGTGAGTGTCCAGGATGTTTTGTGTGCGGTTCTAAGGAACATTTATCAAAAACGTGCCCAGAAAAACGAAACGTCGGATCGAGTTCGCGAAATTCACAAGCATTTATGGGACAAAGTGCACCAAATAGTGCGGATAAATGGATCATAGATTCAGGTGCGTCTGAACACATGGCAAATCAACGGGACTATTTTTGTGAGTACGAGAATTTTAATGAGCCTCTAATGATTTCTGTTGGAAACGGCGAAAAAGTGCCTGCGTTAGGTCGAGGCAAAATTCAAATCGAAACGTATGCCGAAGGCAAATGGCTGCCAGGTTTCTTGCATAATGTGTTATTTACACCAAAAATGTCTCAAAACCTTTTTTCTGTGAAAATGGCTGCTAAAAAGGGGGTTGATTTCATTGTAAAAGACAATGGTAAAAAGTGCCAGTTTTTAAGAAATGAAAAAATTGTCGCAATCGGCGTAGAAGTGGACAATTTATATTAAATTGTGCTACAGGTAATCAAGCCAAAGTTAAAAGCGCACATTGCAGGACAAGTAAATTCCTTGCAGCTGTGGCACATCAAAATTATAAATATGTGCTGTCGTATTTAAAAGGACAACATATAAATGCGGTGATAGACAATGATTTGTGTGACGGATGTGTGTACGGTAAACAGCATCGTCAAAGTTTTAAAGAAAGGAAGAATAAAGCATCGGACTCACGGGAGTTGGTGTATTCTGACGTTTGTGGGCCAATGAGTGTAGAATCACTAGGTAAAAAGAAATATTATGTTTTGTTTAAAGATGATTATAGCTCATTTCGAAGTGTTTACTTTATTCGCGAAAAATCGGAAGTGGCTACAAAATTAGAACATTTTTGTGCGGAAGTAAAAAGGCGTTTTGGGAGTGAAATTAAAACAATTAACTCTCTCTCTTAAAATGAATTAGTCAAAAATAACTAATTATAAGTCATATTTGACTAATTGTCATAGTGAAAAAGCAGTCACTAATAATTAGTCAAATTCCACTGAATGAAATAGTCAAATTAGTAAATTTAAATTTAAAAAAAGTTTTGACACAGCCTGGGATTGAACTCAGGTATGTCATTTGACAAGTTTGTCAAGCTAACGTCTTAACGCATTCGGCTGTCAGCCGCTCTTATGAAAATTAATTTTATTTGTCAATAAATATGGTTCATAATATTTTAAAGTTTAATATATTATTTGTCTTGCTATTTTGAGCTAAACTTTTTGCATCTTTATTTGTTTTATGGGTCATTTAACCATGGAGAGGTATATGCATTTAATTCAAAAAATACTTTGTTGTTGGCCGTAAACGACTAAAGAAATTAGTTACTTTTAACTGTCAGAAATAGTCAAATATGGTGACTAATCTTAAATTAGTCAAACTTTAACTATTTACATAGTAAAAAATAACTATTTAAAAGTGAAAACGACTATTTTATTAGTAAAAAATGCTTTTACTAATTCAAATAGTAGAATTTTGACTATTTCATTTTTAGAGAGCTGATAACGGTAAAGAGTACAATAATAAAATTGTGACTGAAATCCTGGGGAAGAGAGAAATAAAGCATGCGATGACGATACCCTATACACCGGAGCAAAATGGTGTAGTAGAGAGAGACAATACGTTTATGTAATAAATAAAACGGGGCCTTCAAAAGTGAATGGGCAAACTCCATACGAGCTTTGGTATGGAAAACAAGCTTATATGAGTGACTACAAAGTCTTTGGTACTGAATGCTTTGTACAATAACTTATGTTTATGATCCTTATGTCTGCAATGCTGCATTTATGTTAAGTGTTTTATGTATTGAAGGACCTCACTATCAGATCGGGACGATTGGGTTTTTTCTATGGCTGGGATTTTGAAGAGTAATTTGCATAGGATCTCTACGAAGGATAAGGATTTCGGGTAGGATTATGATTAAACCTCGACAGCCAGCGTACATTTTGTCACGTAATTATAATATTGTTTTATGATTATTTGCCTGGGTTTATGATGTTTTTAAGACGGAGGTAGTGCCGCCACAGCATAAAATATTTTTTAATTAATTAAAAAATATTTTTCTTTAAATTTTACTGAGTAAAAAACATTTTTTATTCAATAATTTTTTTAAATTAAATAATATTTTTCATCGTTCTATTGTAGCCAATTTATGTTTAATATACTTAATTTATAAATTAATTATTGATTTTTGAAGAATAAAAATTGCCCCAAAAATATTATTATTGTTGTTATGTTAATTTCAATAATTTTAAAAGTTTCGATCTTATCCAAAGAAACATTTTCACTATAAAAAATCCAATCCTTTCCTTCTACTGACGATATTTTAATTATTTTACCTTCAAATTATTATTCTAATGGAAAATGGTTTAAAAATTGTTATGAAGGAACAAACAGTTTTATTTGCTTTAGGAAAATACTTTCGAAATGTTCCCTTATAAAACCAGAAAATTGTCTAGCTAGTCCATCACCAGATCAGATATTAACTTCAGTGAAACGAAATGTTGGTATACAAATCAACCATTGTGCAAACTCCCTTTTGATGAAGCCCTGCCTTACCTTACGAGCCCGCTACTTTTAAGAAAAGCGCAGACCCGCTCTGGCCGGGCATTCATTATTTCCTCTGGTTCCAAATATCTGTCCCCTAGGTGTCTTAGTCTACTATTGCCTACTGTAGCCTCCAAATGAATAAAACTGGGCTTATTGCCCTAGCAAAGGACGGGTCATAGTAACCCTTTGCCTTTCTTTGAGGATGGGAATGCTTGGGTGGGAGTGGGAAAACCATAGCATAGTTAATCTGGGATGAGGTAAGATGTGGGTGGGTGAGTATGGGTCCGCCAGCGGCCTTTACTTAATATAGCAGGGGAATGGGAACGAGCTGGCTATAATAAGTCAGTCGCTCCCATTGTTTGCATGTTGAATGTCTGAGCGAATCGAAAAGTCTTGAAGAACTGAAAGAAAGTTGTTTTATTATAGATGTCACATAATGAGAAATAAAATTAAAATTAAAATTAGTATCTGCCGTGTTTATCTATAGAAAGTTTGATTGTTTGGTTGAAACTCTTGTGGTCTTTAAGGTCCTGCTCAACATCGGAAATGGGAATTTCTAGGGGGAGGCCTCTGATGACTACCTGGACGGTTTTCTCTTCCTTAAGCATGAAGGTATGGTATTCCTCACCATTTTCAGAGAGGAACTTAGTTATGCCTCGGTAGTCATCACTGGAGATGGGGAAAAACTTAACGCCGTCTTGAGTGTTAATGGCTTTGTGAGCTCTTTTGCTCGGGCTATAAAGCCTGAGAGCGACCTGTGGCCGCAGCAAATCCTTCGCAGCGGCCGAAGGCTATGGATCTCGATATTTTATTTGTTTAGCAACTTATATTTATAAGCGTAATGCCAAGAGTAAGAATAAAATATAGAACAAGTAATTGACACATAATAATAAAATATACAATTAAATTTGATAAGATAAATGGGACGGGCACATACAATGATTACTTACCTCGTGCACGTAGTAGACAAAATAAACAAAATGAACAATATATAGGGGCACAAACAAAAAACGAAGCATATAGGGACCGACGCCTACTCGATCCGGCGTCGGTAGTTCCTGTCTGCTCGATTAAACGCACTCGAATGACTATTGCCTAGAGCATCGTTTCTTAACCTCGGGTCGCGACTCAAATTTGGGTCGCGGGCCATATCGAGATGGGTCGCGGGACTTGCTGGATTTGTGTTAGTTGATTACTAAAAATTTTTTTAACTTACTTCAAATAAAGAAAATGTAGAAAATTGATGATTTTATTTTTATCGGGTCGCGAGCTTCTACTATTTTTGAATTGTGGGTCGCCAGCCAAAAAGGTTAAGAACCGCTGGCCTAGAGCGTCGCATTCGCAGACTATATGCTCGGTAGTTTCGTCTACTTCGCTGCAGTACCTATAATCCGCCTCGATGCTGAGTCCGGTTTAGTGTAGGTGGTATTTGACTACCCAGTGTCCTGTTAGTACTCCTGTGATGGCTCTTAACTGGTTCCTGTTAAGTTTTAGGAATCTATTTACCTCTTTGCAGTTAGTAAGACCCTTTATAAACCCCCTTGACTGCTTGAGGCCCTGTTGTTCACACCATTTGTTCTGGAACTGGTTGTCCAGTACTCTAGTTTTTACCAGACAGAAGGCGATCCCTATGACAGATTTTGGCCCCAAAAAGGCTGTGTTACTGTCCTCACGAGCCAGGTGGTCTGCTTCCTCGTTGCCTTTGATGCCTCGATGACCCGGTACCCAGATAAGGTTAACCTTGTTGAGCACACTGAGTAATTTAAGGGTTTTTATGCAGTCCAGTGTAAGCCTCGAGTTGACTCTTTCTGAGTGAAGAGAGCATATGTAGATATGTTTACCCAAGTAGCCTCTCTGGAGATTCTCTTGGGCGCATATCAGGATGGCAAAGATTTCAGTCTGGGTGATACTGGTATAAACCCTTCGACGCTATAAAGATCACGATATTGCTTATTCAGAAAATAAAAGTTTAGAGGACAGGCATAAAGCAGATTGGATTTTGGAAAATAAAGCTTGGCAAAGGGTGAAATCTAAAGACTCGTAATTAGGGGAGAAAGCAGCCGCTTGGTTAATGTAAAATATTATATAAGTTTGTACTTTGAGCGCATGTGCGCATTCCCCTCCAATGTAAAAATTTTATGTAATAGGTGCACACGTAATAGTCTAATAAAAATTGTTATACAATCAACATCGAGAATAAAACACAAAATATTATAATAATTAATTTTAATTCAAATCCAAAACCAAGTCGCAGTTTATAAGACAATAAGAGAAAATACCCAGGATTTCCTATATATCCTTAACATTGGTCACTTCGAACCAGGATAATCGATATTTTTGAAAATCCAACCACGTGGAAGATCCAGCAACGAGGTCCAGCGCGTAATTCACGAGGTCCACCGCGTCTTCCATCAGTCCACGTCTCTACCCAGAGGTTTGCAAGCCAGAATATTATTTTTTGGAAAAAATCTAACCAAACCAGGCCACGAGGTCGCCCATGTACCGTCAAAAGTAAGTCCATTCCATCATCCATCCAGTTCTCCCATTTTACCATTTGCTTCAATTTGTGCAATTTATACAATTTGTTTAAAATCATATAAATAATTAATTTCATTCATAAATTTAAAGTAAATAATAGTAATTTTTTTATTTAATTTTTTACCTTCATTCATTCATATGAATGATGATCATACAATTTACAATTTCGTTGCTATACAGGCTGTTTCATTTTACATCTCACATAAATCAACATTACATTATTTCTCAATTGCTAGTTATCTTGTTTTGCAAATATGACTGATATTAAAGCTTTAGCACAAAGACGAGGTGTTATTAAGGGGTCTATCACCAGAATCGAGACATATCTCAAAAACCCTGATAACTCTGCAAAGTTTTTTGATATAAGCGTACGTATACGAAAATTAAATGAAGCATTTAACGAATTCAATCTTATACAAACTGAAATTGAATTGGTTTCTTAAGATGACGAGTCTGAATATAGAATAGCTATAGAAGAAAAATACTATGAGTTAGCAGCACATGCCGAACGTCTTTTAAGCTCTATCACGTCATCAGAAACCAGTTCAAAGGAAGCTAATATAAGATTACCACGAATTAGCCTACCTGAATTTTCTGGTCAATATGAAAATTGGTTGAGCTTTCACGATACCTTTAAAGCATTAATCCACACTAACAACTCCCTCACCAATATTCAAAGGTTTTACTATCTTAAGTCTGCTCTTAAAGGTGAGGCGTCAGGAGTCCTTAAGGCTCTTGACGCAAATTATGACATTGCTTGGAAAATGCTTCAGGAACGGTATCTAAACAATAAAATAATCATATACTCACACATAAAAAATATTGTTGAACTGCCTAAAGTAACAAAGGAATCACATGTACAATTGCGAAAATTACTAGACAACTTTTTAATTCATTTTAGATGCCCCCAATCACTAAAAGAACCTGTAGATCAATGGGATACATTATTAATTTATTTACTAGCCACAAAATTAAATACTGAAACTCGAGTAGAGTGGGAATCAGAAACAACAGCATCTGAACTCCCAACTCTAACAGAATATACAAAATTTCTCAATGAAAGATGTCAACTTTTAGAGACTATTGAAACTAAAAATGATAAAACTTTCGTTAAATCATACTCACACGCAGGGCCGAGCCGTGCCGGGGGTGCAAGGGGTGCATGGCACCCGGGCGGCACTAACACAGGGCGGCAAAATATCATCAAAAAATTCATATTATCAAGAATAAAAAAGCCACCTTGCAATATGCAAAAAACTTTCTAAAAATCATTTGCGTTTTATTGATGTCGGCGTTTCAAGGAATCATCGTTTTTATTCTACACATAAAAACTATGCCAAAATTGTGCTGTCAGGCGGCAATGATAAAAAAGACATAACCGAACGCGCGATAGCCCCAAAAAATAATGATGACAATTTTCTTAAAGCCCGGTTTATAGATTGCCGCCCGCCCGCTTCGCTTTCCGTCCGTCCGCTTCGAGTTCGTCAAGTTTCATGTTTTACGGAAGCGGGCTTACGGGAAATCAATTAAATCGCGCGCTGTGTACCACGTGATATTGTTTACAAGGTGAAGCTAAGTTAAAGCATAATTTCTTCCGATTTGACGGCTGCGTATTTCAGCAATTTTTAGTTTTTCTATTAACGTGAGGCAAATAGGATGCAAACATAGTAGTTTATTTTGTCTTTTAATGCGTTTAAGTTAAAAACTAGTTAATGATTTAAAAGGCATCTTTCCGAATTTATTTGTAGCTTTAAGAATATTTTTGACGATACCAGTTACTGTTGCCCATGGAGAGCGGTCATTTTCGAAATTAAAACTAATTAAGACATATTTAAGATCCAATATGAGTCAATTCAGGCTTTCAAATTTAGCAATTATAAGTATTGAAGAAGATATTTCTAACAACTTGGATGTAGGCGACTTGATTAGGGAATTTGCTATTAAAAAAGCGAGAAAAGTAGATTTTAGATTTTTAGTTTAGTTTAATTATTTTTGTTTTTTTTCCTGAATGTATTTTTATTTTATTCTTTTATGTATTTGTTAAAAAATACTTTGTTATTTTACTATAAAATTTGTTATATGTTTATTGAGAATGAACTCCTTCCCTACCGACAACCTAATTTTTTACATTAATGGGGGCGGCAAATTTAATTCTTGCACCCGGGCGGCAGATACCCTAGGCTCGGCCCTGCTCACACGTATCAACTAATGAAACAAATCATAATCAAAATATCACTTTTAAATTTTGTAAGGGTTCACATATCATTTTTTATTGTCAAAAACTATTAGCACTTGATCCCAAGCAACGTTTTAATGAAATAAAAAGACTAAATTTATGTATAAATTGTTTAAAATCAGGACATTCCACTAATTCATGTTTTTCTGGTTCATGCAAAAAATGCGGTAAAAAACATAATACGCTTTTACATATTAAAATTTTACAAAACTTAAATCATAATTCTAACATTAACCGTAGCATGCAACCCCAAAATAATAACTCCACCACCTCAAATAACGAACAAAATCAAAATCTTAATTCTCAAAATAACCAAATAATAAATGCTCATTGTAACTATCCTATATGTTCACAAATCTTATTGCAAACAGCGATAGTAAAAATATTTAATTCCAATGGACAACCGGTACAGTGTCAGGATCTGTTGGACTCTGGCAGTCAAGCTAATTTCATGACTCAAGAATTATTCAACAAACTCAATTTAAATTCAAAAAATATTAATTTACCTATTACAGGTATAAATAATTCAAATTTCAATATATCCAAATTCACAAATGCTACACTTATAATGCATATAAAAACAACATATCATTTTTAATTCTCGATAAAATCACAGGTACTATACCATCAGTTTCATTTGAAAAAACATTTATACAAATTCCAACCAACATATCTATTGCAGATCCAACGTTCAACATTCCGACTCAGGTAGACTTATTACTTGGCTCGGGCATATTTTTTGACTTGCTGTGTGTGGGTCAAATAAAATTAAACAATTATATAATTTTGCAAAAATCAAAATTAGGATGGCTTGTATCAGGTACATTAACTAATATATCTGCCAATCAGGTTCAGGTTCAATCGCATTTAAGTTCATTGTCAAGCATAGATTCTAAAATTGAAAGATTTTGGCTGGTTGAGGAGTGCGATACTAAACAAAATATATATTCGAAGGAGAAGTTGTTAAATTGCCATTTAAATCAAATTACACAAAATTAGGTTCAAATTTAGAAAATGCAACGAAAAGATTATTTGCAATTGAAAGAAAACTTCATAAAAATTCTAATTTAAAAACACAATATCATTCATTTATGCAAGAAAATTTAGATTTGGGTCACATGGTTAAGATAGATCCCAGACTCGACTCAAAGGAGCAATATGCCACATCATTGTGTCGTAAAAAACTCAATGACAACTAAATTAAGGTGCGTTTTTGATGCCTCTTCCGAGTCAGAGTCTGGTATT